TTAAACTTGTGTAGGATACTTATGAAAGAGGTGAAATACGGGGTATATTTAGCGGATTTACCAATTGAGAAGGATACTTGTCTAACTCAGTATCCTAACGATCTCATACAAACCTCAAACTTTTGTTGTAAGTACAAAGAAGTGTTTGCAGATATTTTAATCCGTTAGAATTGATATATATATACATATATATTGAGGTCGGTGAGTGGCACTTAATCGGTAGGACTGGCGGGCGCCATTAAATAACGAAGTCTGAGTACCACGCTGACGAGGTCATTAGTAAACGTATCTTTTAAGTAGGGAAATGTGTTTAATAAAATTCGCTCACAAGAAGATACCAAAGTTTATTTCTTTTAACATTTGCTGTATGTGATATGATTTGACAAAACAGTAATAGCTTTATCTTTTGTGCCGCTCGAATCGGCAAAGCAGTAGTAGTGATTCTGGGAGACTGTGATGAAGGCCACAGTTATCAGCTTAGTTTTTAACTGCCGAATATTTTTCCCAGTTATTTGGATAACCGACGCCATTCGAAGCGTCATTGTTGACGCTGCATTTCCCGTGCGATCGTTAACGTCACTTCTCAATGAACTCTGAGATCAGTAGCAAAATACTGATGCACCGCGAGACGACGCCTGCAAAGGAACAGCTAGCGGTGGCGCCCATCGGTACCGTCTAGGTGGACTGATTAATCAATCGCTAGCGCCCACGCTTAATTCACCTAGACTGCTATAAACCATGAAGGCGGTAATGGGCACCACACAAATCTATAAAGAACACAGCCACACAGTCATGTACACAGAGTATTTTTTCTTCAGTGCCGTCTGTCGTCCCACGTCTCATCACTATGAAGACGTCTCTTAAGCAGTGTCTTTCCTCTAACCGAACTCTGAGGGGAGTGAAGGCATGTTGGCCAGGGGACTATAGGGGTGCAGTCACAAAAGCGGGTCGCACGCAATGTCGCCATCAGTAGAACGCACATATCGTACACACATAGAAAAAAAGAAAAAGCGCACAAGTCTAACTATAACAGGTATATCAGGGAAACGAAACGTTTAAAGTAAGACTGAGACACTATGCGTCCGCTAAGGACAGCAACAGAGCGTCGACCTAGCGCGACTAATCTTGCCCTGTAGAGTATTTACGAACTGAGTCAATGTCACAGTTTAGGGCTTTTATTAAGGCTCAAACAGAGCCAATGTCGGCTGACGTTCGTCAACAAATCTCGCCAGCGGAAGCAATGTAACTGGCTGGCTGTCTCGTCGTGGCTGATAGTACAGCGCCACTTCCTTTCCGGTGACGTTTCTGCACTACAATCGAGTTTAATTTATTATTATTATTATCAATTTTTCTTCGTTAATAGCCCATACTGGTGAATTTATCCAAGTAAGATACTATAGCAATACTGTTGTCTATCAGTACTAGTAATTCAAGGCTGTAATGCTGCACACTGATGTAACTTTATGGATTGAAATCATTCAACGGAGCATGATGTCAATAAGACTTGAAATGTATTTCCTTCCATAATATTGTAGACCTTGTCAACTTTTTCCACAATGTGGTACAGCGATTAAGCGGCCAAATGCTCAGGTCAGAAGTAAGCCTAATTGTGGCCCAAGAGCATGGGAGGAGGGAGCATAGCCGGTGCGTTCAGTCGTATCTCTTCAGTGGAGCAGTTGCATGAACCCGTTTTTCCTCGAACCGTTATTAAGATTACCATTTTAGTACTGGCTTTCAATTACTCTGTCATTAACCCTGGCCAGAAACGCGAACCCCCGACCCCCTGCTTCCTGTTTCAACGATTTTTTCCATGCAAGCGACACAATATCCGTGCATCGATGATGTTTAGATAGCGAATTTAAATCTCCATTATTGCATTTGGAATATCTGTTGTTTTTATTTAGCGCTATTGAAACTTAGACATGTGGCCACAGTCTTCGCTTCACTTTGGTGCTCGCAGCGTAGTTGCTTTTCGTGTAATCAACGGTCAGCTTGGTGTTGTTCTGCCGCTGAGTCGGTATATAGGCAACGCAAGGCCTTTAAAAGACGCTTACGCACAAAATAGGCCTGACGTTAGTATATCTAGCATACGTACCGCGTTACATTACGGCGCCTGTCATCGACCCTAGTCAGTGGGTTACGCCTATTTACGCAGTAATTGCCCGTCAAGCTGTAGCTGCTTCTGCTTCATGCTAAAGAGAGAATTTACGTCATGAGGCCGCCGATAGCTCCGCGCAGGGACGTCATTCCGTCTACGTGTAATCACTCAGTTCTGTTAGTATTCTATAACAACTTCATTTACTGGCCTCTTGCCGAAACCAGGAAGGTTCTCCGAATCGTTATCCAGTTTATTTCAGTGGATAAAAAGAAGGCGTTCGACTTATAGATGGCCAAACATGATATAATACTACAAGATCTCAGGTGGTAACCCCGAGCTGTCAGCGATCCCTGTAGATAATCACATACCACGTAGTCAATTGTAGTTCAAATGTGGCCGGTCAACTAAGTTGGATTGTTCAAGTGCGTCTTTACTTTGAAAAAGCAGTTTTTACAGCCTTTTACTTATACGTACAATTTAATTCGCATTCAGTAGTAAACGCGACCTTGACGTCTATATTTTTGGCCAGCTTTTGAACTTTGCTATATATATTATAAACGGCAGCGTGGGGAATGCTGAGAACAATTGTAAACTCACAATACCAGTCAATTGAAAATCTATCATACTATAGTAAGGAGGCTAACTATATCAATCGTAATTGCGCTCGTATAGCTGGTATTAGGCCTCACACGAATAGTTTTGTTCATTTTTAGATCCGCTAAAATTGCCGGTTTTTTTACGAGGCACATTGTCTCTCATACATTTACTACGTAGCCACAGACTTTATCCTGCTTATGTTTATGTACGTTAGGCCTCGAGCAACGTAGCTACGCCTCTACTACCCTATAAACAAATCTGTTTCACCTGTGGAACTGGACAGCCCTGAAGCTTTTTTTTTTTTTAAGAGTTACGCATGGGGCGGTTCCTAACCCTAACTACTATGGCCGAAAGTTTGGGTTCATGTTTCAAAATACTGATAACCTTTTCACACGTTTTCGTCGTAACAGAACAACAAACGCTGAGACCGTTTATTTAGCGTATAGCGGGTTCGGTCCATTAAAGGTATGCCAACGTGTCACGAACTGTGTGCCCTTCAAACAGTAGATTACATATTATGTACGCAGACCAGCAGGAATAACGATAGTAATAATAGTTCAGCCGTTTGCAAGCATTAATACATGCACACACAGCCGATATGTACACACAGTCGGATAGTCTTTACGGTTTCCATCTTGAGTAAATTTCACGCGCAAGCTCTCGAACACACACCGGTCGCCTGCGATCAGGCACGATCAGATCGTTCTGATTCTTGATGTAATCATTGGTTCTAGTCCCCTGGAAAAGGGTACCACTTATAGAGGGAACTAGGGTTGGAAATACAGCCTTACAACGTCATATACGATTTACATTTTGAATGGGAAAAACTATGCTTCGGCTATGACGGGTAAGGGTTACAGTTGGTTGCTACCGCCTGCTGAGGTTGAAGAGGTCGAACAGTGGAAACGAGTAGCGGCCGCACCGCAGCGATGGCAACGGCTGCGCACGTTATAGAAAACCGTTCTACCCGATAGACACAATGGAGGTGGAATCTATGGGCGCCTGATCCGCTTTGCCTCTGCGATGGTTGTATGCGGCAGTCAATAGATTCCCTTCGGGCCCTTCACGGCCTGTATATGTATAGGGTAGAAGAGCTCAGGGCTAGATTGCACTATGGCTGTGCCAAAAAAGGACTCTGCTCAAGTTCACTGGACGAAGATGTCGCGGCGACGTTAGCTGGTTTCGATGGCAACTGTTTCGTGGTCCATCGAGAGGATAATGAACGGTGCGCAATTTTATTTTCTCTAAATTCAAATCGTGCGCTCTGGGTTCTGCGTTCCGCGCTCAACGTCTTGAAGCTAGAGGAGATTCTGATCCTAAAAAGGAAGAGCGATCCGGAACATATTGTGAAAGAAAAAAAAAAAAGAGAAAGATGATCATGTTATACGTTAGATCTCAATAGCTGTGGCACTCGGGAATGCCAGAAACTCGGGTAACGCGATAAGGAGGCGGCGCCGATCGTGGCCGTCGGTAAGCGCAAGGCAAAGTTCGAATATATAAAATTAGAATACTCCAATTGGGGTAAAAAGCGGAAGCGAGTGTCAGCCAGAAGCACCTAAATACGCTTTGGGCTAAGTGCGTGCAGGAAATTTCGTGTATTTGTATGAATCATACGCTACATCTCCGAGATAAAGCTTTATGTTGGAAACAGCGACAGTTTCTTATGACAAAAAAAAAAATGCATTTTATTCGTTCGGTCCGAAGAAATTCCGCGGTCAGAAGAAATAACCAACACTTAAAAGCTGGGCGTTACTCTATTTTATAGGGAAGTGTAAAACACTCACTCTAACTAGGTTATGAGCCTGAAATGTAGATGTACATATATTCCCATGTGCATACGGAGTCGTAGACTTGTCGATTTTTTTGCAGCTATGCTCACGGGTGTCCATTTCAACGTTAGGGCTAATGGGCGCCTATACTGTCACTATCTCATCAAAGGACAAACGGCTCCATTCACTCCACAATCTAACTACGAAACTATCGTACACATATAAATATAAATAATATATATACATATAAACATTCTAATAATATAATAATATATAAACATATAAACATAATATATCGACGGCTGTCTGTAAACGGTAGATTTGCTTAGCTCTAATAAGGGTCGTTCCAATGCTATAGTTCTTCCATCGGCGGTCGTATTGTACCCTTTAAAAAATCATCACTTTGTAAATACTTACTTTTGATAATCAGCGTTCATTATGTGCTAACGTACTAAATGAAGTTCAACTTTCCACAATTGGCGGTTAGCCACTTTGCACAATTATGGAATCCGTTCGTTTCTCACAAAATTTTCTAGTTGCTGTCTACTTGTTCGCAGCCGCGATCGAAGGCCATCGAAGACTCCGAAAAATCAAGGACATGGCAATACGGCTGGCCGTATAACTGTAAACAGATAACATCATTTGTTGGTAATTATTATTTTCATGTTTTGTTTGCGATCACAGTACCTGAAATAGGTATACATCTAAAGTGTTTTTTTTTTCTAATTACACTTAGAGAAACTGTTTTGACAATTTAAGTTTAACTTTTGATACATTACCCCCGCCCCCCCAACCCTTATTTCGTGTATCTAGAAAGGTTCGTAAGCGTCAGGTTGGTTGCTATCGCTCTCTGTTCAGGATTAGTCATCAGTTGTCGCTTTTTTTTGCCGTGTCACAGAACCGCTCTTAGATCAAGAAGCGGACTGTCTTCACAACGGCGACGATCGCATATTCATTTATAACAGAACGGAGCGCCTGTAAGGCAACGGCAAGTGCCTAAGGCTATACGAAAGCTGACGCCAGCCCCTATCCATTGAGCACTCCTACACGTTTATTAAATTGAGAGCAAAGCAGCGACGATTTGATTTCGACATTGTCGCCTATAACGCGCACGGTTCTATTTCCACATGAGCACCGCTAGCAGCGGCGGCGGCGGCGACGACTCGTAAGAACGTCTCGATTTATAGCCAACTCCACAAGTTTGCACGTGCAAAACAGTTATTCCTTACTTAAATATTTAACTTACGCGGACGGAATTGTTATAAAGCGGGAACATGATTCATGTGAGGTCAAATGACCAGCCGAACTCTGCCAAACATAATGCCAAGGCTCAAAAAATACCACGTAAAAAAAGTGCAGCGTATGAAAATCCACGTCCATGCAAGTGAGGCAGTTTTTTAGGTACTAGTTGAGGATTTGTTTAAATGAGCATCTAGATATAAAGGTTAGGTATCTCTCAAAACTGGTTTTTCGGACCGATTTTTCCCATTTAACACGAGGGAGAGAAGCTAGTTGATTGTCTAGTATCGCTATTGCTGTTAGTTTCTAGCAGTGATTCTACTGCTGTTTTTTTTCTGCGAATGAGTAAAACCTTGGTAAAAAGATGGAACTAGCGTATTTGAATTATTAAACCAAGCTAAACAATTACTGAGAGGGTAGAATTGAATCCAATTGGTAACTGACCAACTACCGTAAGCGTCACCCACTTAGAACCGTAATTAGTAATAGGTTACCGGAAGCAGAAAAACAGGAGCACTGCAATGATGAAGGCAGGGTGAAAGGCCTGAAAAGGGACTGTATCGCATTGAAGATTATATTCAGACGGAGCAAGCTTGATTAAATCGGTTGGGAGAACGGAACGGAATAACGTCAGGTAGCGCTTAATACGGCTGCATAGTGCACAGCGTCTGAATAAAAATGTATACATATTTGGAACTGGGTGGGTGCCTGGTCCAATCAGCTAGCACAGAGATCTAACGGCGACAGATACTCAGTCCGCATACTAGCAATATTAGTATCCGGATTATCTAATAAGTTAATTGAAAATTACACGCACAGGCGGACATACAGTAAAACACTGGGTCATTACCTATAATAGACGTAGACGGATAATAGAGTACCTATACTATACTCTAGATAGAATTCGGTGTCCTATTCTCTTGCGATCTGACTTGACCATGTAGCTGCTAACAGCACATAAAAACGGCAGTTTATTGGCAATCAACAATCGATAACGGACTGTTATATCAGTGATGGATATTGACTATGGTTTTCCATCGTTTTATAACGGCTACTATTGCGCCTACCGAACTTGCCTTGAGGCGGTATATATACTAGTCATGGCATGACATCTTTCTCGCAATCGATAGCCCAGCTGCTTCACCGATTCTTAATCTGGGTAAAGTTGGCATCGATCATCGAACTCAGGTGAGCAACGCCACCAGCGGCAAGTTAGATAGACAGCTGGCTACTACGACAGGATGGCTAATTATTTGCCTAGTCCCTAGGTGAACGGACTAAGCAACCGCCATTAGCCTCTGGAGTCGGGGGGTTACGGGGGCGAAAGCGAGCCGACGCCTCACCGGGCGAAGGAACATTGGTAACTACTGAGTGTATGAACTTCTAGTGATATGTAGCTGGCCGAATTGACGCTGCCCATTTTTTCTGAACGGTCGCGTAGCTGAAGATTAATTTTTACCGAATGAAATGGGAAGGGCGAATCAGATGGCCAACACGATCTTGGAGATGTCAATATAAATTTATTTCTGGATTTATTTTAGCGGAGCTTGTCCTCGCTGCCATACTAGATCTTTCGTTCTAGGCCACCGCCGCAGATAACTGAATTGAATAGGCGCTTAGAAAAAACTAATGGAACGTTGAGCTCTTGTTGTAGTAGCGATAACGCCATCATGACCATATGCGTGATTTCTGTCTTTGTTCGTTCTGATCCCCAGCATATACGCTAAGCTACTCTAGGCCGTGACAGCTTACCGGGTAACGTATCTGCTACTAATTTTAGGCATACGTTGTGGTCTAGGTTCGAACCCGGAGAGAGTATGTATCGTGCTAACAAAAGCCAGCCAGCCGCCGTCTGTCTATCTGACGAAGTGGTTAACGGCAATACCGGACGTAAAACTCGGAATTGTAGAGAAGGTTTCACAATGCTTCAAACGCAGTACTGAATGTGTTTGTATTTTTCTCTCTCGGCAGGCACAAGGCGACAACGACGATGTCGCCGTCAGCGTGGAGGAGCAGCGTGCTCAGGGTTTTATGGACGAATTCTTTGCCGAAGTTGAAGAAATTCGTGAGAACATCGATAAAATACAGACAAATGTCGAAGAAGTTAAGAAGAAGCACTCATCTATATTATCCGCCCCGCAAACGGACGAAAAGGTACGAGCACTGACGGCAAAGGGCAATGGAACTTAAGGGCTTTTTTGAAACGAGTAAACTTTGACCGAAATGAATTAATCGATATTATCCATTGGTTTTATTACGAATGTACGCGGTGAACAGGTAACAAATCGTTAGCATAGTGTGCTTAGATCTTGTCAGCTTGTCGTCAGTAGGTGTCTTGCAATTGCAAGGTGCAATATCAGGCACTCGTGTTAGCCTAGTATAGGTCGTGCGCATTAAGTCTCAGCAACAGACTTTTCTCCATGTATTCTAATTCTCTCAGAAGATGAACCTGACGCTTTATTCTAAGCCTAGGGAGAATCGAGTGGCTATATACTTCTAAAGCCGGAACATTCAAACAAACTTGACGGTCTTCCTTTAATTGTATAGAGCAGATCCTATAGCAATCAGGATGTTTTCAAGTTTCACCCACTGCGCCCGTGATATACTTACTTTCATGTATTTTTCGATACAAGGTGAACGTGGTAAAGGCAAAAACGAGGGCATGTATAGATAGAATTTTCGCTTTGTTCAATTGTGTAATTCCAAAGGTTGCCTGCTGGTATTTTTGTCTTGCTGCTTTACGTACTAATTGGCTAATGGATTTAAGCAAAGGCCTTTTACGTGTACTAATCATTCGGCCTGTCGAGCCGAATGATCAGTACACATAATGACCAACGATATCTCGTACGATATTGAATCAAAATATTCATTGCATTCACTTTTGTTCATAGATATTACGACAGACTTTTAGCAAAAACATCGTTTGCTTCCCCGTTTTCGTAATGCCTTATATATGTTTCCTGTAGTATCCTTGGAGCTGAGGTATGTTCAGCAAACGTGTACCTTTTAGGTTTTCCGACACTGTTTCTTTTACTATAACCTCGGAAACTGGGTATTTATTGTATCAAGTATTCGGAGCGATGTTTTTGCATGGTTTAGAAATTTTTCCGCTGCAAAATCCCATCACATCTTTCAACATTATAGTTAAGATGTGGTTGCCTGATGATTGAAATTTTTTGATATAATGTGCCGTAATAATACGATCGATTCTATGGCACGCAGACACAAAACGAAGCTATAGTTAGAAGCTAACGTTTCTCTGAATTGCTGTGGTACCTTTTTTGGTACCACCGAAAATATCGATATCGGGGGGTATGAGGTAAGCATCACATTAATAATTTCTATTGTTCCAAGTATTTCAAAAAAGATACATTGCTTAACGATATTTCATCATTAGAAACACTTTTTCTATTCTAGAAGTTTTAAGTATCTTGACGCTATCATAAGTTATTCACTTAACTTTCACATGACTTATCATGATTACGGATACCTTTCGAATAGATCCTATTATCATTAAAAACAAAGATACATACATATATATATATATATATATATATATATATATATATATATATATATATATATATATATAGGGCTTATAGGATAGCGGGATCTGATTTTGACATAGAATTTGTGCTTTTTCTTGCATTGCTGTTGTGCTTGTTCATTGGCCTATCATAGGTCAAGCAGGAACTCGATGACATGATGGCGGATATCAAGAAGACGGCGAATCGGGTTCGTCAGAAACTCAAACACATGGAGCAAAGCATCGAACAATTGGAGCAGACGCAAATGATGAGTGCAGACTTCCGTATACGAAAGACGCAACATTCCATGTTGTCGCAAAAGTTCGTTGAGGTGATGACTGACTATAATAAGACGCAAACCGACTACCGAGAACGCTGCAAGGCGAGAATACAACGACAGCTGGAAATAACAGGTGACGTACTTGACACGATCCTTTACGGATGGTCTTCGAGAGCGTTCTTCTACTGCTACAGACAACCTCATAATCTAACGCGATAATGCACCAGATTCAAATTCTATATAGTTGCACAGCCCGAATAGAGGATTCGGTGACCAGTTTCGTGTGGCAACACCAAGAGTGACGGCACACATTTTCCTTCTCATGTATATATGTAGCAGTTCTGTTTCGACGAAAACATTCGATAAAGGTTTTTTATTCTCAAGATACAAATATTGCATACCTATAATAGAAAAAGTAAGGTAATAAAGGTAAGTACATATGAGAATTCTCTTAAGTCTCCGAATGTGTAAAAGCTACTGCAAATGACTAACAGGTATTTGCCCATTACGATCTGACCCACAATTCCGTACGACTAATCTCTTCGATATAAGTCATGTATTTTTCTAACCTCATACGAACAATTTTCATGCAAGGAAGCCTAAGGCAATTTGGGCTTCTTATGTAAATAATAAATAGAGGCATTAGCTACAGTCCTCTGTCAAAGTGCCTTTTTAGGCTAAATTTGACCAACATTTCCATTACGTTTTCCGCAATTAGCAGATACGTAACTGGCGCTATTGTACATCTACAACCGTATTGCTCCTTATGTTTGTTGTCAGACGACTGGGTGCGCTGTAACTAAAAACTGGAAAATGAGACTTAGTTAGGCCGTTTCTTGAGGAAGACTTGCTATTAATTTAAAAATGGCTACATTGCGAATTTTCCTGGGGTAGTTTGTCAAACCATCTAAAAAATCAATATAATTCAAATGCAACGAAAGAGGCTTGCTTGCGTAGAATGTTTTTATATATACAATAAGCGTATAATCTGCAGGCTGGTACGACACTCGATCGGCGGCCAAGCTATAGATAATTTCATTCGATAGACGAATCATATCTCGGTAATAGATTTGAAGTTTCGACGACATGGAAACCCTTCGCTGCTTAGCAAATCCTTTTGTTTACTTCAACACTGCGACTAATATGCTTTTGTTTATTGTCGATTCAATCTCTCATGACTGCGTTCATTACGAGCAGGTCGTGTGACGACAAACGAAGAACTGGAGGAAATGTTGGAGACGGGAAACCCGGCCATATTCACACAAGGCATTATCATGGAGACACAGCAGGCCAAACAGACGTTGGCGGATATTGAGGCGCGACACGCCGATATTATGAAGCTTGAAAACTCGATCCGAGAGCTGCACGATATGTTTATGGACATGGCGATGCTGGTCGAAAGCCAGGGAGAAATGATCGATCGTATCGAGTACCATGTCGAGCACGCGCGGGATTATATTGAAACGGCCAAACAGGACACCAAAAAGGCCCTAGTCTACCAGAGCAAGGCGCGAAGGGTACGTACCATTATGCGATAATTATATATTATTATCATATATGTATATATAGATAAGCTCTACGTGAGAATGCTGGTGACCTTGCCTTTCTTAGCAAATTATATACACCATGCTCCATATCCAAAATATTCAAAGAGGCTAAACAAGTTCTCAGTGACTGTCAGGCATATACACTTTCTAAGAAGCTTGCTACGTAGTTTCCCAATGATGTTTATGTTAGCTCTTAATGACGCATGCGTTGTGCAATCAGTGTTTTTTTTTCTTCTTTGTTTTTTCGCTAGCTTCTACCCGTTTGTTGTATTTTGTTCGCCCATTTTACTTTTCAGAAGTTGATTTTCCTAGCTATTTTGGGCATTTGCTTGCTCATTCTATTCGTGATAATCCTATCGTCGATCCTGTGATGTGTCGTTATACAAGTTTCGGTGCGCGTTGAGTTTCGTCCACTCGTGCTGTTAGTGAGGTGGTATTAGAAACCACCAATGGAAAATTATCAAGACAACTCTTTTATAGGGGACCCAAGATTCCGAGACAGAAATGGCGCGAGAGACCGTGATCTACAGAATCTGCCACTTGTTGTTCTTACCCCCTAGTGACATCGCCAAATGTTGTTGATATTTTTAATTGCCTATTGTTAATAAATGTTATATTTTCATTATTTTATGACGTTGTCTTTGGCTACGACGTTTTGTCACGTAACCTGTTATTGAACAAAAGTTACACACGTTCTTTTTTCTGTGACGTGATAATACGGACGCTTGCAATATAATAAACGCAGATGAACTCTTTCCGTGCAGAGTGGAAAACAGTGCGCGGGCAACCTATTAATAAGAAACATATTTTCTAGTGCGCAAGATAAAAACACGTAGAGGTTTATAACAGTATTGCTGCCTATGTGTGTAGTAAAATCAAGATGCTAATTAATTTTAATCCTTTACGCAATATACTTTTTCAAGCATGTATGAATAACCAATAATTAGAAGAAAAAAATATAGTAACTGCATTCTCTAACATTTACAATGGTATTGTAGTTGATGCTGTTGAAGACTAACGGCGAACTTTGTGTTACGATGCTTTCATGTGATGTTTTCGCGTCGGTGTATACCTGTTTCCGCTTGTTTGTCTTCTATTCCTGCTATTGGTTGCTAATTGCAGAAAAAGATCATGATTCTCATCTGTCTCACCATTCTCATCGTCATTCTGGGCTCATTCGGGCTTAGCTTCATACCCGGCTTCTAAGCATAGCTCGTGTGGCTGCGTCGGCATTCCGCTAGGGCTCAAGTACTAGCCTAGTCACACTCTAGTGGAAGCCGAAAACAGACCGCCGAGCTCGCAGGCCCTAACCCCGGAGCCACCCAGCCCAACTGCCAGGCGGAACGATTCAGCCGCCTGGCGGGCAAGGATCGAGCTGACGCTGGCATTGCACTAGTAGTGTCAAGCCGGTATCAGTTTGGCTGCAAGCCAGGGACTCCGGGAGCAGGGCCAGCGATTAGCACTAGGAGACCAGGACAGACGAGGACGCCAGGCAACCCGCGCCGCTTGCTGGCCAACTGACAACTCAAAGCGAAAGAAGGCAACAAAAAAGAAACCAGCAACGCAACGCAAAGATGACGCACAGTTATCAGACGACAATGCAACCAGTCTCCCGCCTGCTTGCTGATAATGGCGTATAATGACGACGAAGTAAATTGATGGCAGAGGCGGCTGTGGCAGACCAACGCAAAGCAGCCAAAGGGAACGAAAAATAGCCAGTACGATAGAAGTAGAGTTCGTCACAGCGGCGCAGGACGCCTGACGACCAGAGGGTGCGGCGATGAACGCCTCGCTCGCGCAGACAACTAGATCCCCCTCCCAATCGCCCCACCTAACGTGGCTCGCTGACCCGGCAGGACATACATCGGGATAGCAAAATCGAAACAAACCAAGGGAGTGAGGGAATTAATAAGGAAGGATATAAGGAAGGACAGAAAGGTAAATTTGCGGGTCTATCAGCAGTTTTACAGAACAGAACAAACGATTGCAACTAAACGAACTAGAAGCAACTACTGTTATGATTACTGCAAACAATAACGATACCAGGAGTAAAAATTAAGTTCGGCAGAAACGGCCAGATCTAACTGCAACGGAAAAACAACTAACTACTCAGGATCCTGTCGGGAATCGTGTCCACAGTGGAAGCGACAATGAATTTCAGCCAGACATAAACGATAAGCTGAGCGCACGTCTTGCGATAGCGAGATAAAAAAAAAAAACGCAGCATTGATCAGTGATAGTCAACCAATGACGCTAGAAATGATGGCGAGGCTACTACTAACTATAAAAAAAAAAACGTCATTAACATACAACCACGATTATACACGTATGAGTAAGTGGATCAGCAAAAACAATGGGCCGATGCGAGCAGCGTGTCTGGTTGAGATAAAATGGAGGCTATACGACGACGACAACAACAGGCGAGGGAGTTATGGGCAAGATTTCCGTAGCAGGTATGTGCCCATACCACGAGCGGCACGCGTCATGGTCAAGTGGGGCCGTCAAGACACGAATTCACCAACGGGTCACCTCAGAGATCGTGTGCCGTATTGGGTGGACGCCGAATTATCGTCCCTAGAATCATCTTATCTGTCTGACGGCAACAGGTCGAAAACAACTACTAGGACCGGAATTGGAATCGTATAAAGATCAACTTAGATACGTAAAAGCAGATAAATCAAGGCATGACGTGCAGCTCATTACACCTATGACACAACGACGCTGATACTATCCTTTGAGGAACAATGGCCAATAAAATGCATCGAGCAACGAGCCTAAGCAGAAGAAAAAAAGATCTTAGGCCAATGTTTAAGCGGCCGTTCAGCATTCTCCAGGCCATTACCATTGCCATCCCGCAAAAAAAATTATATATATATATATATATACTACTATTATATTAATACGTGCCGGCTAGTGCAATAATATTTGATTGATTAAATCGTATTCATTCGCTGCTATTTCGCACTTTCACACCCACAATTGGACTCATGCTTTTACCGTTCTGCCAGGGGTTTAATTTGCCTTAACGTCCTTTTGCCCCTTCGACCCTCTCGATTCGGCGAGGGCTGAAGGGCGGACGACTGGTGGGACGATGGACTCCGGGGCGCTTCGTTTGACCCAATCATACGTGTACCATTTCATGCTCTATACAAATACCTGTATATGTATAACGACACATACGCTATACAGAGAGAGCATCAATTAGTAATCGAGAGATTGTGTAACATGTTTAAGGAGGCAAGTCGTAGAAAAATTACGGAAGAACAACGATATACTGATAAATTGAGCGTACTATGAGTGTAACTTGTGAATACTCATAGAGTTTGTTAAAATTTTTTTAGAAGGCATAAACTAGAACTTCCTTGACATGATTTGAGTTGCCAGGTGTTTGAATAGGACCAAAGTGTTGATGAGAGTAATAAATCTTGTATTGTTGAATTGTACATATATTTCGAGGGTGCGCTCAACTGTTCGGTGAAACTTCGATTGCGGAAACTTGTACCCTGTAGCTTATTTTTTTTATAATCTCACTAAAATCGTAACCTATGTCCCACTGTGGCTCACTCGCTTCCAATTTGCGGTATCGGGAGTTGGGGAAGGTGCTCGCAGAAAAAACACAAGAGAGAATTCTAGTATACACAATGTTGCAGACGATTTTTTCTCTGTTACATTTGAATTTTCCTAATTTCAAGGTTACTGTGTTGTTTTATCGGCGGGACATCATATGTGCGTAGTCCCTATAGATGACGCTTCTTCGATGATCTCTTGTATTTGACACTATTGAATTTGGTCAAATCCGACATGTGAAAGATATCTATCGTAATAGTAACCGGAATAACCGTGCAAAGCCACGCCATTGTGCCATAACAATAATAAGAATATACTGTAGTATGGTTTATCACCGAGAGAGGGAAATATCGACTCCATTGCGTGTGTCTGTGCGTGCATACATTTTGGCGATCTCCGTCTCTATAGGAGGCGCTACATGAAAGGTTTTTTCTATTCATCTATTATCATGTAGCGCTACGAAATGTATTGTTACTTACTATCGAATGAGTATAACGTTATGCGTAAATAGACGATCTGCCATGCTTACATCACTCGCGTTATAATCAGCTTTCATGGGCTAGACATTGCATTGATCAGCTGATGCAGACCGGTGGAGCGAAATACAAGTAAAAGAAAATAAAGCGAGGAAAAATTGAAACGAAACAAGGAAGAAAAAATTGACAACGATTGCGCCCTGCGATTGTCCGGGTCCTAAGTACCTTGTCACAGCGATGTGACATGTTGATAATAAGAGTTACATGCGTACATATATACTTAGTGTAAGCTAGAGCTATTCTTTCTTATAATTCCCATTGAAACTACGCTGTAGTGCGCTGCTACTATGTTTATAGACATAAAGCGAAACCGTGCGAGTAATAACAAATAGAACGACTTTTAACAGTAAACACATGACAATCCTTGTGTTGACGTCACGGCGTCGAATGTGGAGGAACACTGGTGCGGGAACCCGTCTCGAACAGAAAACGCATGAAGACGACGACGACGACGATTGAGGAGATGCAGCGAGGTGTCGGAGCAGGAAACAAACAAAGGATGAACCTGATAAAATTTGCAGCCGATTAGGAGTTGCGTCTCAGAACGACAAGTAAATGGGAAGTACAGTAGAATATTGAAGTCTACCGTTAGCGGCATAAATACTATGCCAAAAAGAGGAAAGAGTACGGCATGGAAACGACGAAATTTTCGAAGGGTAAACAGGGAAAAAGAATGTCCCACTACTTCCGTAACTTTATTGACGAAAAAGTAAATCGATAAGTAAAGGCGGAAAGCAACACAGCAGTTACCACACTTATTAAACTGAACGATAGAAACGGTATCCGCCGCATTATCGAGCAGGACAAACTGTAAACATTTGATACAAAACAGGACAAATATGCGATATAAAGGCTACAACGAACACCAATAGCTATGATTACTTAAAGTAGACGCGATTTTCGATTGAATCGAAGTAGAAAAAGTCGTACGAACTTACCTTGCAACTAAAGTTATTAATAACGAACGGACCGAGTCGACAGATCGATAGAGAGCCGCACAGAAAGGTGACATACAAAAAAGGAACATGGATTACAGAAATAAAGGCGGTGGACAATGCCGAAGGAAGAAGCAAATTCTGACCCGAAAAGGTAAAATTAACGATGTGAAAAGACTTTTCTTTAGCAGAAAAACAATGACCCGAGAGTATAAACTGTCGCCTGAAGGTAGTATTTACAATCAATTAATAATCATAATAGTAACAAGAATTGTAACGCTGATGAGATCTATATACTTGGAGACCGGCTAGTAGGCAACTTGTGCCATTAAGCCACCAAAACACGTAAAACAGGGACCCATAGGGCGTTGTTAAAAGAAATTAAGTGAAAGTTTACAAATGCCGCTTTTTGATCATGGCATGCCACCATAGCGCGTGGACAATGGAAACTTCACCATAATAAAAATGTCTAAAGCTTGTAGTCAATTATAAGGTGAGCTAGAACTATAAAATAAACGACATAATAGCATTCTGCGGTTTTGCAGTGCCCAGCTTGCCAACACGCTACGTGCAGTATGCTGGCAACGCGTGCTCTCCGCAGTGCTACGGAAAAAGAAAGAAAGGGGCTTAATGCTTGTCAATGCAGCCAGTTAGTCAGGGTTTCAAACTCAATTCGGAGTGGTCACTAAAGGGGCTGCAACATGGCTCTCTAAGGTAGACGAAGTGTATCCAAGTTGGCGACATGACCGCGACAAACATTGTCGACGTCACGAGTCACAATGATAGAATTATGGCATCAAGTGGCCATGGAAAAGGTCCACGATTACGCCCGACCAGACATGTGGCGACGCCTTGAGCTGTCTATCAATCTGAAAACCTTTATCAACGTATGTGCACACACTACCGATCGAGGAAACCTCGCCGTTGGGGGTCGCCACCAACCGTTCGTTCGCCACTTCGAAATTACTCATTAAAATCAACTTTTAAATCAATTGTGACAGAATAATGATGAAAAACTAACTACGTTAAATAGAAATTACGGAAACTCGGGTGTTTACGCCTCGCTAGCGTTAGCTGCAGTAGCCCTTTCGTTCGAACGAATAAATTCAATCATTTAGCTGACAACCCTACCAAACCCACTAACAACAATGAAAATATTACGGTTTTAATTCTAATGGCATCGTATGATAAATGTACACTATTGGTTATGGTCGAACTGCTAGTAATGACGGTGATTGGTTCAGTTCATCATAGTAGTAGTAGTATGATGACGGAAATGCTGGTAAGAAAAGAACTTCAGAGGAAGTCAAACTACCACACTGAGGACCAACATTCTAGCCTCAAAACGTCGGTAAGGTCACGATGATATATATATATATAGACGATGGAAGAAACCTGGAAAATGGGTGACTGATGCGAAACTCGATGCAATAATTATTATTAGATACAATTAAGACGATGAAATAATGATACTCAAACATGATTATTGTTATAATGAGGACACAGAGCTGAGGGTTGATCGTAGCTAATTATACGAGAAGGAAGTGTAAGAAGTAACTGGTAGATGACATAGGCAGTAATTGATTGAAGGTGATTATGATCTTGATGATAAGGACGAGTCAGAAGTGGCTGAACAGAATTGGATTGCAGATCATACAGCACTAAGCAGACAGCGAAATCGTTCGCGGTTTCGTGTTTTCGTGTGTCTGTCGAAGGTATGCCCGAGATTCACGCCTGCAATGGCGGTTTGTAAAGGAGACGATCGAGCGTTCGATGAATGACTATATACATGCATATATAGAGCCGTTGTATGGCAAGGAGAGAAGAAAACGGCACAAAACGAGCATCAACCAATCATCTACATGTCGGAGTAGCGGACGTTATATACACATATATTGTTTTACTAATCATGTAGTAATAGTACCAGCAGCGGTATGTTTTTTTCTTAATCATCCCACAGAAGATACGAAGCAAAATAAAAAAACATGGGGAAAACAGGAACCCAAGTTGAGAACAGCAGCATATATATATATATATACACGATGAGGCACGTGATGGAAAGCATCAGCAGCTCGTAGTAATGGTGAAGAAACGTAATTGCAGGAATCAGACCGTAGCGTAATGTAACTGCCGTGATCAGAGTAGTAGTAGTAGTGTTCTAACACAGCTGAGCTTTGGCTTATCGTTCTACGGCTGGCTGTCGCTTCGAGCCTTCCTGTGAACCGTCGAACGATTGCCGTTAAGACAGGGCAAATAGATGGAAGGGTGTGCTAGAAAAATCTCTGTTCTTTATCGTAGGAATTGAAGCAGTTGATTGGATCAAGCGAGATAGAAAAGCGAATGTAATGGGTGGGTGGGTGGGTGGTCGGGTGAAAACAAGAATTCGTAAGGAGGCACGTCATCATCAACGTGTACGTTAGCCAATACGTGCTATAGGATCACAGTGCGATGATGGTGATGACGATAATTAGAACGATAACATAATAATAAAATGAACATATAACTGTGGCTAGTTTATAATAGACGAATGTATACGAATAAACTGTGAGAAAAAAGAACAATAGTTCATTGGGAGAGACGATTATAATAAATTATCTAGAAATAACAGCAGATGAATACATAGATAAATGTTAACCGCTACTGATATAATAATCACTATATATTAGTGCGTAGTACGACAACACGAACAAGACTGATATCTGATTAGTCAGAAACTCATATTATGTTAGAAATAGGGGTGATAAACTGGCAGGTTAATGAATGTTGGCAGGTGGGTAACGGGTGGACAGACATGATGGTTCTTCTGTGACGCGACTAATTGGCAAG